GGAGACAACATTTGAGCCAAATCTGTCCACGGAGAAAAAAGTCGGTCAAAAACTGGCTCAATTCTGGATGGTTGGGGCAGTAAAGGGTGAATAGTGCTCAAATTCTTCCATCATCCTTCGTTTCGTCTCAGACATCTTCGTTCAACACTCAGTGTAACAGTATTCGTGAGTAGAAACTAACATTCTGATCTGCTGACGAGTGACATTTCTCATAATTACTGCCATAGGGGAGTGACGGAGTTTCGAGAAGATGTATGGGAGATTTTGTGTCTCCTTTGGGCATATCAAACGAAATCAGCAACATCGCACTCCCTATGGCAGTAATTAATGAGAAATTTCACTCGTCAGCAAGGTCAGAATCTTAGTTTCTACTCATAAATACAGTTAAGGGATACACGAGAATGGTTTCACAGAGCAATTGATGAGTTTTGAAGAATGTTTCGCTGAACTTGTTCTAGTGACGACATGACATATTCGTATTCACTAGTGTAAAAAGGACAAGTGTTCAAGTAATACCAGGTAAAAAAATGAAAATGTGATGTTTCTATTTACAGATGCAGAACAGTGGGGAACACGGAGTGCTGTACAAAGGATGTCAAATAGAAGAGTTGTCAGGAACTTTTGAGAGCAAACCAGAAGGAGAATGAGCTGTGTAAACCGAAAAGAAGATGTGTCATGATCCTATAATGGTCATAGAACTATGCTCTTCCAGCAAGCAAACAGCATGGAAATTAAGTATTTAAGCAACCGAACAAAACTTACCAGTAGCAGAATAATAGTGAGGGTTCGCAGTGGAGGGTTCAGGGGAAAGAAGTCGAAAATGAGTTCAAAAACAGACGAGTGTGCGTAGTTACGCCATCAGTTCGCAATTCAGCGTCTATGTTGGCGTCCTACCAGTGTTGGTCGATCGATTACGAGAATCAAGGTGAAGTGCCTTGGACGAGTTGTCCGATCCAAGAGAACGGCTGCAGAGGCTCGGTGGAGGTGGCAATTACGGCCAGCAGCGTCCCAGAAACAATATGACAGCTGGCGGGCACGCCATACGACCGCTTCCCGTACGATTGTTCAGTACAGCGCAAATGGCTCACAGAAGCAATACGTAATGCGGCTGCGGACTTACACCATATTCGACGCGCTTTACCTCAAAGCGCCAGTTTTTTGTTCATAATCAAGCAGGAAGCGACGTGAAGGAACGGCTTATTGAAGTACATGAAGTTAGCCTTCAACCAGGAAAAGACCCATATAACTGGAGTTTTCAATAATTATATAGATCTGATAGTCAACATGGTGAACGGAAGGATTAATACTAAATTGTACACAAACAGATGACTTTAGCGTCAAGATAGTCAATGCAAACATTTCCCCGATTAATAAACTTCTATACCTGTTCGATCATTGATATTCGAAAGCAAAATAACGGATATGGTCACAACACTTTTGGGAAAAGTTTACAAAGGAGACTTTATTATAATTATTTTTTTCATTTCATATACTACTTGGATGTTTTAAGTGTAAACTATGGTTCGTTGCTGACATTGTAGCGCCCCTTAGCGTGCATGATAAATGAATAAATAAATAATTAACGCAGTTTAATGTACTTAGAAAAACAAATTTATATTTCACAAGTGCTCTATCGCAAATAATTACAAAAAGACAAGTAAACTGGTTGAAGGTATTCTCATTGGTAATGGTAGTTGATATTAACTCTCGTTTATAACTTCAGTTCTGTATACAATAGTCCTTCAGTTGGCTATAGCCTTCCAAGTACAATCCTTTCATAATACACGTGTTTGTTACACGCTCCGCTTATTATCCTTCATTCAGTCCGCTGTCCATTCCTTTCAACCCATTCCTTATATTGCATGAGTGTTTGCATGAGCGCCTTTGCTACTACTTCTTCTATTTTATCTTTTTCGTCACCTCCTTCTCGTATAAGGGGAAATAACAGTAGTTCGTCTGATGAAAGAAGCGAAATGGATCATGTGTTTTGGAGCGTTTTCTCTAACCAAATATTTGTTTTTCTTTGCTTTCAATTGAATGGTTTTCACTAGGTCATTCTTAGTGTTTGAGTTCCATTTGATGATTTTGGATGCTAAAACACTTTGGAAAGGTGAAGTTGGTTCATTTAATTGTCAGGTTTTTCTGTGATTCGGCCTGGGATTCTTTCCTACTCATATGATTGAGAACAAGTGTTTGAAAAAAGTTAACGAATGTGGAGCTTCAAAACTCTAGGGAATAGATCGACATCGCAACTGGTGAGGAAGGACGCTACATGTATGTGTCACTTTAGTTAGGTTGACCTCACAAAAGGTCGTCAGGTCGAAGTGGCCATTTGTGATGAGATGTAGATCACTAGACGTGGTTTTGGACGCTGATCTTGAATCTGCCTTCAAAATTTGCAAAGCGATTCTCTGAACGGAGTTATGGAGCCGCGTTTACCACGCAACAGGTCATGGGATCGGATCCCTGCTGAGCTTAACTTTTTTGCTTGTTGCGCAAAAAGTGATTTTGCCGTCACTACTACTTCAGTTCTCACCTGAGCTTGTCTGAAGAAAAGTTTGCCTCCATTTATTACTGCGCTTGGACTCCTTGTAGAAGCACTGTAGTGCACTGTAGTCTACAAGGAGTCCAAGCGCAGTAATAAATGGAGGCAAACTTTTCTTCAGACAAGCTCAGGTGAGAACTGAAGTAGTAGTGACGGCAAAATCACTTTTTGCCACGTTTGCGCAACAAGCAAAAAAGTTAAGCTCAGCAGGGATCCGATCCCATGACCTGTTGCGTGGTAAACGCGGCTCCATAACTCCGTTCAGAGAATCGCTTTGCAAATTTTGAAGGCAGATTCAAGATCAGCGTCCAAAACCACGTCTAGTGATCTACATCTCATCACAAATGGCCACTTCGACCTGACGACCTTCCCTAGTTAGCACCTTCCCATACTCGCCTGTGGGGAGACCGTGTGAGGTCGCCTGTGGGGTGACCTCGCTCAACTGGCTGCACTGGCTGCTGACCTCTCACCAGCATTTCTAGCACCATGAATAACTTTAGTTCCATGAATAGTTTTGATTTGCTTGTGCGTTTTATACTCTGATGAAGAATCCTTTTGTTCTACAAGACAACGTGTTTGATTCCTCAGAGAGCTCATGTTCAATCAATGTTCAAGTAACCGGACCAGATAGGATTGAGGAGTTTATAAAAGTGAACGTTTTTTGAATACCCTCATTTTTGTGCTCAGTCTAGAGGCTAAGACTGCTAAAGCTTGTCGCAGTGTATGACCAGGAAAGGTTCGTCTTCGGATGGTTCAAAATTGCTTTGAAATACACAAAATTTTGATTTCGACATTGTACGAAAGCTCACGATAGACGCTGTTCCGAGTTCAGCTAGGGACTCCCTATGTCAGCTAATCTTGCAAGGCCTAGATATGAGGCCTTGGACCGACCTTAAGCAGTATTAGTAGGCAAATATTCTCACCAAATAAATCGTAAGCTTTGAGCTGCTTCCTCTGCTGCAGGGCAAGTAATGCATATCTTGAATGCTCGACTGTGAGAGCTCTTATCACGCATGCCTTCAGCATAGCTAACACTGCTTCTGCACAACCTTTCCCTAGAGTCTTTTGTTAATGGACCTTTCCCTGCTATAGCATCATGCAGACGGAAACCAGCGCCAGCTTTAAATAAACAAATAAAAACGACTGCATAAGTAAGTCCTGCAACGCATGAGAAGCTCAACCAAACGTAGTAAATACTAGATAAAGGAGTACTCCAAGAAAGTGCCTAGATGTGAGCTGCTTTTTTCCGGTCATGCCACTGAATCGTTTTTCATGAAATAATTCGAGTGTTTTTCTTGCTCAATATTTTGTTGTTCTCTCTTGGGTGAGCCTAACAACTAGAGGTCGTCAGCTAATCGAGCGAAGTCTCCCCATCCACCCTATCGCTCCAGGCTTACCTCGCGCCTCGTCTCCTCAAGGGAAACTAAATGTGAGGTGAGTCTGCCTAATTGGCCTAACTAAATGTACACACCCACATGTATGAGAGTTGTTTCAGAAATTTTTACGGAACGTCACAGTGTTAACGGAAGACGGGCCCCATTTACCGGCTCATATCATGTGAGAAGAATCAAGACCAGGAGCCCTCATTACAAAGGACTAACGCACGTTAGGCGATCATGAACATGGATAGTTTGAGAATTCTACGTTAGCTAGTAACATACACCGGATCACAAACTGAAACCTGACGATTAAATGGACCAACTTCACCTTTTCAGAGTATTTTTGCATTAAAAATCATCAAAAGGAACTTATACACTAAAGATGACCAAAGGAGAGTCAGACAAGACTGCCTTGAGGTAAAGTGTGTCGAATATGGTGTAAGTTCGCAGCCGCATTACGTATTGCTTTTACGTTCTTGAGCCATTTGCGCCGTAAGGAACAATCGAGTACAACTTTTGCACCTTGAAAATACCATGTTCAAGCAATCACGACAAGTATTCTGAGACGATCCGGGGTATTTTGTCATGATCGACGTGCAATGTGGCGGGGCCTGTGCATGACCGTTCCAATTACGGCCTTTTTTGGAGATGCGGTAATGATTTGATGCCCCATGAAGTTACCGGCTTGTAGCGTGCACTCTATTGCATGCACGTAGTGCCTGCAGAATGCCGCGCATGCACCGTCGCGTGGCCTAAAAAGCCTCTCTCTTGCGCCCCACCGTAAAATTTCCAATTATTAGAACTATTCGGAGCTGCGAATGTGCGAGCCGCGATTCGCATGGAGTAAGAACAAATAGAATAAAAATTCGTTCACACGCACAAAATTATAGGGCAAAATTCACAGTGAGAAATAATTAGGCAGCGTTCAGACTTCGCGACGGCAGCGCTTCGATCGCGCGTTCGACGCGATCGATGCAGTAGAAAGCATGCGCATCGATCGCGCCGAACGCGCGACCGAAGCGCTGCCGTCGCGAAGTCTGAACGGCATCTAATGTGAGGAATTTCACCAATGTACTTTAAGGCAAACCATGTTTCTGGAAGATGTCCTTAGCAACTTCTCGAACTTCTTCGTCATTGCTAATTTCACAGTAGTACGCGTATGCTTGGCCACCTCCATGCACTATCGAGGCGACTGTTTCTTGAGCTTCACACTGGAATTTTCACATCTTAATACCATCTTGATAGGACTTCAGACAAGCAAACTAACGTTAATAGATAAAAAAGAAACTGACGAGATTGACATCGAGTATAACTACTCGCGCGCCTCCCTCGAGAGACAAAATTTCTGTTATGCGCCTGCCCAATCCTGAGGCGCCACCGGTCACCACAATTAACTGCCCGTCGACATTCTCAAAAAGTAAAATGTCTTTATAAAGTCAGTACTACACTAAGAATTTCTTTCTTTCTCTGTGAACTGTATACGACTCGAACAAAAAATTTTACTACTGCTGTTGAGAAAACCTACCTTTTGATTCAGTGTGATCCATCTTATAATATCTTTAGGGATATCAACGAGGAGTAAATGAATCAATATACCAATGGTGCTCAATAGTTTGAAAGACCACTGCTTGTACATAAGCAATGCTTGGCAGTTTCCTAAAGTTTTTCTTGTCCTATTTATATCGTGTTGATAATTCACAATTTCAAAGAATGAAGAACTTATGGTGTAGGGATTACGAGGTTGACGAGAACTGCCGACTGCCGTGTTACGCTTGCGCGTGGATAAGGTCAAGGTCACTGGAGGCCTTCGTAGATGGGCATTTGTAACTTTAAACAAAGAAAAACATAATCTGGGGAAAGGGAAAACACTCCAAACGCAGATGGTTCGTCTCGCCTCTTACCCCAGATGAACTATCATTGTCTCGCCAAACCAGAAGCTCTTCATTGAGGTAGGTTGACGAAACAACTCCATGGAATACATAGGGAAAGGAGTTGAGAAAAAAGATAAAAACGAGGGAAATTGTAACATAGGCGCTCATGTAAATGTAATGGTATCGAGAAGGTAAAAGGAAAGGGGCAGAAAACTGAATGAAGGATATCACGCGAAGTATGTAATAAATACGTGTGATAGGAAAAAAGTTGGTTGTGCTTAATAGGCCAAAACCAACTGAGGGAATATTGTGTATATGACACTGTTGAAACGAATTACAAAAGGATGAAAGCAAAGAATCGAAGTGGTGAAATAAGATTTAGTGTTATACCGCTGCCAATGATAGTATTAGGTTGTCCGGAAAGTTCTCAGCGTTTTGTGCACCTATTTTTTGTACATTCACTGCTGATTAAAAACTCATTCTGCCTTGCTTCTCAGTAGCACATCCTGTAGAGAATTTCTTGCGCTATCTGATGGTATAATTGCCGTTTCACCATTGCTTGAAACCCCCTTTTTTCAAGATTTTTTCAAGCATGTGAAAAGAGCACTTCGGACGATTTTTTTCTTCGACTATAAATTGGGGCAATCCGCAATCGAAACAGCTCAACAAATTAACCAGGTGTGGGGCCCAATAGTGCTAGAGAAAGCACTGTGCGGCAATGGCTCAACAAATTTCGTTCTGGAGATTTCAGCCTTGAAGATGAACCTCATAGCGGTCGACCTAAAGCAATATCTGACGAGGATTTTAGGGGGATTTTGGAGGCTGACCCATCCCAAACAGTTCGAGAGATTGCAGAAAAGCTAGGCCTTGGCAAATCCACTGTTGCAGATGGTCTGGAACGCATTGGGAAGGTGAAAAAACTCGACAATTGGGTGCCCCACAATCGGAGTGACCGGCAGGAATCGGCACGTCTCGAGGTTCCTTCTGCATTGCTTTTGCGCAGCAGAAACGACCTGTTTTTGGGCCGAATTGTCACCTGTGATGAAAAATGGGTCATGTATGATAACAGGAGACGTTCCGGACAGTGGTTGGATTTCGACGAACCACCGAGGTAATTTTCAAAGCCGAACCCTCACGAAAAAAAGATTCTGGTCACGGCTTGGTGGTCATCGGCTGGTGATCCACTATAACTTTTTATCACCAGGCCAAACCATCACAGCAGAACCTACTGTGAAGAAATCGACGAATTGTACCGAAAATTTTGTCAGATGCAGCCAACACTTATCAAAAGAAAGGGTCCGATTCCTTTGCATGACAACGCCCGCCCACACGTTTCACAAATCACTATCCATAAATTGAACGAATTGGGGGTTGAAGTTCTACCTCAACCGCCATATTCTTCAGACCTTTCGCCAATCGACTATCACCTTTTCAAACATTTTCAGAACTCCCTTGCTGGAAAATACTTCATCAATCAGGACCAGGCAAAAAAGCCTTCGTGGATTTCGTGAATTTTCGACCACCCAGTTTTTTACTTTGATGGGATTTCTCGACTGCTGTCACATTGGCAAAAGTGTGCTGATTCGAATGGTGCCTATTTCGATTAAATCCGATGAGTATTAAAAAAGTTACGATCGTTTAAAGTGAAACACCCAAAACGCTGAGAACTTTCCGGACAACCTAATATTTTACCAGTCTAATTATTTTTCAAAATTATTTGCGATTGAGTATTTGTAATACATAGATTCACTTCTGTAAATACATTTCACTAAGCTATGATAAAGTACTGTCGCCTAGACCTACACCCGGAAAAAAATGACTGACGAGTTTTCCGGACAAAGTCGTCCACTTTGTTGTGGGACCACGGTCCCTTTAACACCACATTAATCAAAGACATGCTACACTCAAACCCATTGAGGGTGTATGAGACTATCAGCCCCCAGCTCCGCGCTGTCGATCTGTTGGCTCTTTTGCCAAGTCCTGTAATTGCGCTTTGGAATACAAGTACAACGCAATTTCTTTATGCGGATAACATTTTAGGTGCTGCAAAATAAGAACCGAAGATGATGACGAGGGCTAGAACTCAAGAGCAACTGTGGTGCTTCTGCAATATCCCTCAGAGGCCGCGCATTCCCACAGAACATGACAATAAAACGGACAACATGACAATAAAACATGACAATACAAGCAAAACGCAATTTCCTAATTTTTCTATTTCTATTTTTATTTCTTATTTCTATTTCTATTTTTCTCTATTAATTTCCAATTTGAGGTATTGCTCATGCTTCAAAGTCCGAATAGAAGGTGATGAAGATGACAAAGGCTAGAAATGAACAACAACGAATGTAGATGTAAATAAAACAAAATTGAAAAAACTAAGGAAACGCAATAAATTAAAATCGCGTGTGCATTTCTGCGATCCGGCTCGAATCCGGCTCTAAAGCTATAGAAATACTTCAAACTAACGAGTGGGACGCTTAGGCCGTTTTTATTGTCATGTTCTGTGGGAATGCGCGGCCTCTGAGGGATATTGCAGAAGCACCACAGTTGCTCTTGAGTTCTAGCCCTCGTCATCATCTTCGGTTCTTATTTTGCAGCACCTAAAATGTTATCCGCATAAAGAAATTGCGTTGTACTTGTATTCCAAAGCGCAATTACAGGACTTGGCAAAAAGCCAAGAGAGCTGCACGCGACACGCGCCGCGCGGACGGTGTTAGTAAAAACGTGAGTTTGCGAAATGGGCGGTGTAGCAAGGAATTACGACTTTCCCACGGCCCCGTACTCTGACCCCGTGCAGTTTTGGGCGGGGGGACCACGACACATCGACAGCTGGGGGGCTGATAGTCTCATACACCCTCAATGTGTTTGAGCGTACCATGTGTCTTTAAGCTACTTCACCAACCGCGTTTTTTACTTTGTGAGATTATCGCTCTTGTGCGTAATCATAGTTAATATTTTCGAGATCTGCTTCTGCTTCGATTAGGAAACACATGAAACCTGAGGTGCAACCGGAAACTTGAACACACAACTGCATCTTCTGTTTTTATGGGGCCACACCTCACTGGGTACCACCATTTTTAGAAGTTCTGCCATTCAGCGTTGGATTCCAGCGCAAGAAGATATCTAACCTATCTTCATCCAACCGTAAGGCAGGGTACAGCTTCGTTGTGTGAAACCCATAAGGGGAGTCGTTTTTGCCGCCGAGAAAGGGGGGAGGTCGTAAACGCAGGCAGAAGGGGGGTACTAAACGCACGCACCAAACTGCACTAAAGTGTCATCGCTAAGTTCAATGGGGCGGACGGAAAGCTGCAGAGGACCCGGATGTGAGGAAGACTACAAAATATTAAAACAAGTGATTAGCAATATCAATAGTTAGCATGAACTCGTAAGTATGTAGATGACTAAATGGTACATCTCGAAACAGATTCGTGCGTTCAAACCCTAACCAACATCTGCTTTCATGGGCAAAATTAACCTAAAACAGAAGTGATACCTCTCCATCACCTTTGCGTGGAAGTGTGATGCAAGGCGCCAGTCGGACTAAA